CACACCAAATTCTTGAGAGTGGGCACTTCTGGGAAGATGAGGAGGAGTGAGATGCATGGTTTTAGCATGATGCCACTGGTCAAAATCGGATTGGAGTTACAGAGGTAGTGAGAGGTGAAGATGACATTGTCATGGACATTTGTGATTCACAGCATAAGATGGACGTTTGAGGGGACACACCACACCTTGGCAAAGGGACATGTGAACTCCATGGTTTCCTCAAGCACATGTTTTTTTCAGTGGAYGTTAGTGAGTGAATCCGTAGTAGACTGGCTAAAGCTGGACTCACTGGTAACCATGGTACCCTGTCCAGGAGAGTGCAAGTCTTAGCTTCTTGTCCTGAGTTCAACTCTAAGCTTCCTCCTTACTAGTTAACTAACAGGAAATGTTTTGTATTTTTTTTTTTTTAACTTCTTTGAGCCTTGTTTTCTCTTATCATGAACTGGGATAAAAACTACATCACCATATAGATGAACTGAAGTAATTCATGTGAGTGTAGCTGAACAGACATAGTAGACCCTCAGTAAGTGACTTCTGAATCCAGCTTTGCTTGTAGTGACCGGTAGATTCTGAAAATGATATGAAAGATCAGGGAAATAATCACTTATTTTTTTTTTTTTTAATTTTTTTTTTTAATATTTATTTTTTAGTTTTCGGCGGACACAACATCTTTGTTGGTATGTGGTGCTGAGGATCGAACCCGGGCCGCACGCATGCCAGGCGAGCGCGCTACCGCTTGAGCCACATCCCCAGCCCAAATAATCACTTATAAAGTGGGCTAGCTCTTGATGGGAACTTTGTCTCCCTTTTAGAAACTGACAAAATGGATGAAAACAGTTGAAATGACAAGTTTTAGAATTCTGTGTCCAGTTCTTCCACGTGGTTTYATTGTGTTCTGTATTTTTTCTTTATGGGCTGGCTTTTCGGTTTTCTTTCATTTATGTTTTGAAAAAATATGAATCTTCACTTTTAATGCTAATGATCACCTTTAAAATAGTTCTAAAATACTTTTAAAGTTTTCAAATAATTCAGACTTATAAAAACTTAAATGCCAAGATTTCCTAAAAAAGTGGTCTTTACCAGTTTTCCTCAYGTTAGTATCTTATGCAGTAATGGTTGCCTTTTATATTAAATAACTTCTTGAAACTTTCTCTAGTTGTCAACTTATTCGATGAAGTTTTGGAATATTAGTTTTTCATTCATTCACACACTGTAATCATTTCAAGTGACATAACCTTAGTGTTTTTTTTTTGTTTTGTTTTGTTTTGTTTTTTGGTACTGGGATTGCACTCAGGGGCACTCGACCACTGAGCCCCATCCCCAGCCCTATTTTGTATTTTATTTAGAGACAGGGTCTCACTGAGTTGCTTAGCAAGCCTCACTGTTGCTCAGGCTGGCTTTGAACTCCCAATCCTCCTGCCTCAGCCTCTTGAGCTGCTGGGATTACAGGCGTGCACCACTGCGTTAGGCAACATAATCTCAGGCATTACGTTTAGATCATTATTGTTAATTTCAAAAAATTCTTCGTTTAAATGTTTTGYTTTTTGATGTTTCCAGTGTGTGCAACATAGACGGTTCTTTTTCTGGATTCAGTGTTCTGTGTTTCTTTGTATCATGATTCAGTCCAGGCCACGTTGAGTTTATGATGTCAGGTGAGGGACAGGTGCTCCAAGGAGCACTTGGATATAAATTTGTAACTGTCTGAGTTATCTAACATTTCATTGTTAAAAAACAAAGTAGAGGGGCTGGGGTGGTGGCTCAGTGGCAGAGCACTCGCCTAGCGTGTGTGAGGYACTGGGTTCGATTCTCAGCACCACATATAAATAAATTAATTAAATAAAGATCCATTGACAACTAAAAAAATATTAAAAAYAACAAACAAAAACAAAATAGAATCCAGATGAGCAAAGTGGCTGGCCAGGAAGAGCTGAGGCCCCAGGCTTCATTCCTGTGTGGACAGGGGCAGGCCAGCAGGAGGCTGCCAGCTGGGCTGCCTCATTCTCTTCCCACAGCAGGCTGCCTTGAGTTCATTCAGTKTCAGGGTTCCAGGTGGAGCAAGAGCAAGTGCCAGGAGAGCCAGTGCCAKTCATCTCCAAACTTGCATCCTATCTGCTGCTATCTCCTTGACACACCAAGTGCCTGACTAACCCAGGTTCTGGGGTAGGATCTGTAGTGTTATGTTACCACTGTGCCATGCACAGGAGGGACAGTGCACACCCTTTTAACAGTCCTCCCCACACATCAGCTCAGTGTCATTAGCCAGACAAATCACTGCTCCTGCTCAGCTTCTCACAGTGCAAGGCTTTGGGTCCTAATGGTCCTGTGTGTGCTGACTTCTGGTTTTCTGGGGGTGGGACTTGCCTTGCCAAAACTGCAACATATGTGCAAGTTCTCACTTGATAAAAACGCCTTGATTTTTTTTTTTTTAACTTCAGATTGCCAACACTCCTGATAACTGAATGTGTGCTGGTTTACATGACTCCAGAGCAGTCGGCCAACCTTYTGAAGTGGGCATCCAACACTTTTGAGACAGCCATGATCATAAACTATGAACAGGTAAGAGGAAGCCAGAGATCGGGTTCTCCTCAGACCCCAGAGGYGGCTTTTTCTCTTGACACCTTTGCCATATCCTTCCCTTGTTCTTTTCTTTTTGCCTTCAGCCATTTATCACTTCTTTATGAGTTGATTCCAGCAATCTTGGTCAATTCTTGCTTGTCTTCTTGCAAACTTTGAGCCAGAGTTTTAGAACTTCTGATTTGGTCTTTATAAATTTTTTTCCATTTCTTTCTTTATCACTGTATTTTCTGTAGAATCGTAGAGCGTTCCCTACAAAGGTCTTTTGTTAGTGTGTGACTGACTTTATTTTTTAAAATCTTTTTTCATTACAGATAAGGGCAGTAAAGAGATATGCTCCACATCATGTACTTATGGGTGGATCTAGGCTAGACTTGTCTCCACCTCCTTCCCTGCTCCTGCCCTGTTCAYGCTCTTGTGTTTGGTTCTTGGTTGGCTGGTTTTTCTCCCTTCTCTCTCTCTCTTTTCATTTATTTATTTATTTATTTTACAAATTAGTGTTAGGTTTTTTAAAAAAATTTTAATTGATTTTTAAAAAATAAATGACAGTGGGATACATTACAATTTTTATTACACATACACAGCACAATTTTTCATATCTCTGGTTATATATAAAGTATGTTGACACCAATTTGTGTCTTTATACATGTACTTTGGATAATGATGACCATCACATTCCACCRTCCTTGCTAACCCCCTGCCCCCTCCCTTCCCTCCCACCCCTCTGCCCTATCTAGAGTTTGTCAGTTTCCCTTCCCTCTCTTAACCTGGGCATGTTCCCCAGCTGAGCTGAGGAGTGGATTTGGTGGAAGCTGCCTCCTGTCTTGTCTTTTTCTTTTGATAATTTCTTACATTTTAATTTATTTATTTTAATTAGGTATATATGGCAGCAAAATGCATCTTGATTCCTTGTACACAATTGCAACACAACTTTTCAATCTCTGATTGTACACAACGTAGCTTCGCACCATATTGCAATCATACCTGTACCTAGGATAATAATGTCCCTCAGATTCCACCATCTTTCCTGCCCCAGGTGCCTTCCCCTCTCCACCCTCCCCTTTGCCCATTTTTCCTGTGCCTCCCCTCCCCTRTTACTGGCTCAGCTTCCACTTATCAGAACGAACATCCAGCCTGTCTTTTCTTTCTCTTCTTCTTTTATTTATTTATTTATTTTTTAATTTTTTAGTTTTCGGCGGACACAACATCTTTTGGGGTTTTTTTTTTGTATGTGGTGCTGAGGATCGAACCTGGGCAGCACGCATGCCAGGCGAGCGCGCTACCACTTGAGCCACATCCCCAGCCCAGCCTGTCTTTTCTTTTGATGTGAACAAATCCTGGGCAGCTGTCTGCTTTTGCCCCCTGTGCTTCCTCTGTGTGTGCTGTCCCACTCCCACTCACACAGCCTCAAATGACAAATGGCAGGTTAAGGGAATTTGGAGCAGAGACCCTGTTGCTTTGGAGGACGCCTCGGAAAGTACCTGTTTTCAGTGTGTTGTCCACAGCTGTCCCTCACCTGACACCCTCACCTCATCCACATAATTTAACTTAAGTCACTAACTTTCTATCAAATACAACATCACCAGCAGCCTCATTACACATAATTGCTTACATGTCTTAYGTCATATCCTGATTGTTTAAAATTACAAAAGCACAAGGATGATGATAAAGTAATGACAGTGAACTGCGAGATGTGCTTGCTATGTACCAGGCACTGTTCTGTGAGTTTTACATAAATTAATAATTAATTATGACAGTAGTCATCAGGGTAGGTACTATCACTGTCGTGACTTTACAGGTGAGAGGATAGAGCACAGAGAGTTAGCTAGCCAGGGCCTCGCAGCTTGCAAGCCAGAATTCAAACCTTGGTAGTAAGACAATGGAGTGTGTGTTCACAGTGCCGTCTGTCCTGAGTGGGTGGCGTGCAATGTGATCATTAGTGCTTCATGAAGGGAATAGTACTGTTGCTTGTCTGGCATTATTGTCATGTCAACTCTGGGAGTAATTTTACATATTGTTCCAGTGAGGTCTTTTTGTCACCTCATATATGCATGGCAAAGCCATCGTCAGTGCTACAGTAGTGAGTGGCAATGCGTTTTCTGGCGTTTGTGCATATATATAGGGTAGTTGTGGTTTTTTAAGATTTTTTTATTCAAAAAACTAACACCACATGCAGAACAGAAAAATCAAGCAATCCAAAGRTTAGATAAAAGTAAATCTCTCTCCTACCCTTGACCTCAGTCTTCTGATCTGAGAAGCAGTGGTCCTGCGTTCAGAATTTCCCTAAAAGGAGAGAGATCCATTTTCTCTGRAAGGCAAGGGCTTTCTGTGCACACCCCTCCATGGCTTCTTGGGAGTTAGCTTAAAGTCCTCTGCGTCTCTGTGGCTGTCCTCCTTCCTTTTCACAGGTTTGTGGTGGTTCATTATGTGAASGTGATAGCATTTAGTTAACCCTCAAATGATGGTCATTTCTTTCCGGAATCTTCCCACTTCACATAATACTGTGGTTGATTGCTGCATCTCTGCATGTGCGTGAGTACACCTGTAGGGGCCAGTGCTGTGTGGAGTTRGCGCAGCCCAGGTGGAGCTCTGAGGTGGCCGTGTGCTGCCCAGGGGCCGCCCACCGCACACTCCCAGCACACGGCGCTGGTGCCACTCCCTCCCTCACCTGTGCTGGCAGGAGCTCTCAGTCAGCCTYGACTGGTTAAAAACTGGATGTCATTGGGTGTTTTTAATATTTAAGAAACAAACTCTCAGGGTGATGCCAGCTCTCTCTTCCCTGCTCAGGTGAACATGGGTGATCGGTTTGGGCAGATCATGATTGAAAACCTGCGGAGACGACAGTGTGACCTGGCGGGAGTGGAGACCTGCAAGTCCTTAGAGTCACAGGTCAGAGAGCAGACACGGGGTGTCTGTCTGTCCTCTTAGCCATCAAGAGGGGCCTTTCCCTTGCAGATGAGATGATGCAGGAGGCCCTGTGACTACCTGCCGACAYGGGCAGCTGGGGCTCCCTGATGCTGGGACAATCCAAGTCTCCTGCTTCCACATCTTGGTGTAGAAAACAGAAAYATATTTATTGTAACACTATTATTTATATCATCAAATCTTATTTTATGCGAATTTTTCTTTTATTATGTAATTTTTGAAACTAACATAGAGTCAGAGGGGATCGTGAGCTGGATGCCCATGTCCCATCAGCCGGCTTCTGTATTTAGTAATGTCTTCATCATTTTTGTTTCTAAATCCTCCACAGTATTTTTTTTGTATGGGTAGTGGCATTGGAATATTTTCAGGCAAACCCCAGTTGTACATGACTTCACCTTCAGTGTTTCAGTGCAAATCCTCTACCAGTAAAGACTTTCTCCCCCAGGATAATGTCAGAACCATTATCACCCTTCACAGACAGACATTAACTTCATAGCATCCAATATGTGGTCCATGTTCTTCTCCTCAGTTGTGTAAAACAGTTTTTATAGTTGGTGGGTCTGAATCAGGATCCACCCATGGCCCTCACTAGGTGAATGATGAGTCCCTTGTATGTCATTGAATCTGTAGTATTCCACCTCCCTATTCCAAATGTCCTTTATTTGCTGGAGACACCTCCTAGCCCTGCCCCATTTAAACAGGTTAGTTTTGACATATCTCGAGTACATGACCACCACATGCTTTCAGAACTGTTACTCAGAGAAAAGCCTCTTCCTGTTTGTCTCTAAATGTACTTCAGTTTCCTCCATGATAAAAGTATATGCCCAATATAGAAAATTTAAAGTGAAAAGAAGAAAGATGCAGGGGACCAGAGTGGCTTTTTGAAGGAATCATTTCAGAAAAGTGCTTAGGAGGGTCTGGGACTTACTCAACGGGCCTTKTGATTTTCCCTCTCTTTTCACCACACTTCAGAAAGAGCGGCTCCTGGCGAATGGGTGGGAGACAGCATGTGCGGTCAACATGATGGAGCTGTACAGCAGGCTACCGCGGGCAGAAGTGAGCAGGTATGGGCCGGAAGCCCTGGCTCTGCGGTGGTTAATCGGGAGTGAAAGRCACGCTACCTGTGGTCTTTACTATAAAACACAAAACAAAGCTTTATCCAGACTCTTTTTTTTTTTTTTGAGAATTTTTTAATATTTATTTTTCAGTTTTTGGTGGACACAACATCYTTGTTTGTATGTGGTGCTGAGGATTGAACCCGGGCTGCACACATGCCAGGCGAGCACGCTACCACTTGAGCCACATCCCCAGCCCCTATCCAGACTCTTTTTGAAATCAATTAAATACTGGTAGCAACCTGAGGGTAACAGATTAGSTATTAGGGGAGGTAGAGCTTGTGCCCAAACAGATGAGCAAGTGCACCTGGAAAATTCCCAGAGCAACTTCTGCAGTGGAAATTTGGCATGATCCCTRTTTTGGAGAAGGAAGAAAATGACATCACCCTAGCATTTGTAAGGGAAAAAGACCTCTGACAGCAATTTTAAATGAATCTTCCTGCATTATAAAAGAAATACATGTTCGTTCTGAATAGTTTCAAGCAGTGCCGAGGCTGTGGGGTAAAGCCCGCGCTCTGCAGGCACATGTACATAAAGATAAATATTTATTGGTACATAGGTTTTTTTTTTTTTTTTTTTTGCATCAGTGAACTTTACTACATATATTTGTCTGGAAATCCCCCTCTTTATTTTTAAACTTAAAAATGGGTCATATTTATCTTTACATATCAAAACTTTGAGGATTAACATATCCTGTTTACATGGTATTTATCTATTTATTATTTGTACTTTGTGGATATACGTGTTTATCTTTTTAGATATACATGACTGTACATGGTATTTTATATTGCTGTGTTGGTAGAATATTTCAATAATTTCAAACTGATAATAGATAATTTTAAAGAAATAAAAAATGGGTATAGCTAGGCATTTATTCTGGTGCCTTATGTTTCGTTTTAATTTCTCTGTTTCAAACAACACTGAAGGGAACATCGCCATATATACATCTGTGTTAGTGCCTGCTTTAATTCTTTTTTTCTTTTTAAATTTTTTTAGTYATAATTGCCCACAATATCTTTATTTTGTTGATTTGTTTTTGTGTAATGCTGAGGATCGAACCCAGTGCCCCCCACGGGCGAGGCAAGCACTTCGCCATGGAGCTGCAGCCCCAGCCCCTGCTTTGATTCTTTTACATTTAGTTCATGCTTCCTGGATTGTTCTTTCTTTTTTCCTTTGGCGACCTAGAGGTGCAGCTTTTAGTCCCTTGCAAGGTCATGAGAAGAACTGGCTCTGCCACAGAACTTACAACATTCAGAAACATCACTGRTTTTCCGTGTGCAGACATCAGTAATTGGCAGGGAAAGCCTCGAAGGCCTGAGAAAATGCAGTCTGTGAAGTGAAGGGGTTTSTTTTGCCTCAGGGCCTCCCACATACGAAGCATGCACACTACTGAGCTATACCCCACCCCCAGCCCTCTTTCTTCTTTTTAGTATAAATAAATTAAAAAGGAAYCACACCAGACAAACTATGTTGTAGCCATTAAGATATGTCGTGAGCAGCTCTCCACACTGGTGACCGTGGATCATCACCTCAGACATTTTCACTGTCTAACATTGTCCTTTACTATTCTGATCTCTGCTCAGGATCGAATCCCTGGAATTCCTGGATGAGATGGAGCTTCTGGAGCAGCTCATGCAGCATTACTGCCTGTGTTGGGCAACCAGAGGAGGACAGGAGCTTGGTACAGATCATCTTTTGTTTCTTTGGTGTAGAAAWGGGGAATGTTCCTTCCCTAGAGAAYGAAAGGCGTACCTGTGACTTCAAGCTCAAAAAGAACCCGAGAGCTCTGTGTGACCATGAGCATACCTTGGGAATTCATAGTTCTATCATCTGGGTTTTTATAGCATWGAATTCAGGAAAATTGTTTTGATGAGCCCCAGATCCTGAACAGCCAGCCAGCCCTTGACGGGTCTGCTGTGGAAATTCTGCAGTTGCAAGGTTAAGGACCTTGAAGGTTTAAAGTGATTCTGAAGTATCCAGTGTTTGTCTCTTTTATCGGGTTTACTAGGTGTTAAACACACAAGTCGTCACGCTCTCTAACAAGCCCGTGCCCTTGGTCATAGCTCCCTGGCTGTGGCCGAGCAGGCCRTGGGGGTGAGCGGATCCGCAGCTCAGTGGTGACCCGTTGGCTTTGGTCCAGCTCCTCCTCCCCACCTGCCCCAGGTCCTGCTCCCTGGYGGTTGTTATTAATGTGTCTACACCGGGGGAAACTGTGTTAGATCAGGCACGTGTAGCAGCTGCCCCAGTGCCTCCTGCAGATGTGATCTGAATGACACACGACCTCAGGCACCTTGYGAGTGGAGACCGACAGAGGCCAGGTGACATGAGGGGCGGGCAGCCTGCTTGGGCTTCTCAATCTCTTGTCTACAGTCACCCAGCTCAGCCCACAGAATCCTTTCAAACTTGTTTTGATTTAAAAAATCACTTATTGGTGTGTTTTTATGTTGTCATCCTTTCCTAAATTATAAAACAATGTAATTTGGAAACTTCTGAAAAGTGTGGCAAAGAAAAGAAAATTGACCTGTACCGAGAGAGAACCTCTAGTAACTTTTCCTTTCCATGTTTTTTTCTAGATATTATCTTATTTTTAATAAAGCTGAATTTATACATTTATGTAACATTGATTCCTAACTTTTTTCAACTTAATATGGTAGCATAACCATTTCCCCTTTGCTACTAAATATTGTCAGCGAGCATAATTATGATGCTTTTATTGAGTTCCATCAGGTGACTGATTTATTTAACTTTCCCGTGTTTTTGGAAATGTACATTATTTCTGATATTTTCGAGTTAACTATAGTTCTCCCCTCCCCCTGCCCTTTTGTAGTACTAGGGTCAAACCACTGAGTTACATCCAAGGCCCAACTCTAGTTTTACAGAGCAATAGTAAGTTGGCCATTTTAACGTAAGGGGCTCCTTTGTCCCCACCCTCTGCCTGGGTGCTCTTGTGTCATGGTGAAAAATCATTTCTGCCTTAGCTCAAGGTTCAGCTGTTACAGGGTAGATTTTGGATGTTTACTGCAGAGACCCCTTAAATTGTTATAATGCTTTCCTAATCCCCTTTAAACTATTCATAAACAGAATCTTGCCCAACTTCTAGTTTCCTCGTGAAATCGCCTTTCACAGAGCAGGGGACAGCTGTAGGGTTGGATGTGCTGGGCCCAGGCCCGCCTGGTGGGCCTGTAGTGGTGTCTTGTTCTGCAGCTCTGCTGCCCTCTGCTCCGTGCCCTGAGGTCTCTGAGTCTCTGTCTCCTCCCTCAGGTCTGAAGGAGATCTCTTGTTGATCTGTTGAACGTTCCTGTTGAGCTGGAAGCCGAGCTGTCTTCCCAGAGATGCATGGAGCAGCCTGAGGGATGGCCGCGGCCAGGGTGGGCCTCGCCTGTTGACCTCACTCCACGCTCTGAGAAGTCTTATTGTGAAGGTGGTCACACCTGTTCCTGTTCCTGTTGACTTACTGTTGTTTAAATAAATCTCACTTGCCAAACGCCTGTGTCAAACCTCTGCTGGTTCCCTGTGTTCTGTGGGGTGGGCCAGGGTCACTTCTGTGGCAGCTGACGCCTGACCTTCACTTACTCCCYAGGAGTCGGACCCATAGTGAATCCATTTTGGGGTTCACTCCTTGATGAACTGGGCTCTGCCAGACGCTGGAGCTCTTCTCCGGCTCGTGTGTGCTCTGGCCAGACCCACCTCTTCATGGCTTCCTTCATCCTGGCTAGTGTGGCAGCTGAGTGGTTCATGGCAGGCTGAGTAATGGCCCTGCAGTGTCCACATCCTGATCCCCGGGGCCTGTGGGTGCACTACCTCCTGTGGCAAAGGGGCTTTGCAGGTGCGGTTACGGTAGGAGTTTGGAAATGAGATCATCCTTGATTTTCAAGGGAACCTGATGTAATCAKAGCCCTTTGGTTGGAAAGGGACAGAGGAGGTGTCACACAAGGCAGTGGGATGACAGACTGTGGAGTGATGCACTTGGAAGATGGACGAAGGGTCCAGAAGACCAGGAATGTGGGCAGCTTTTAAAAGCTAGAAAGAGCGAGAAAACACCTCCAGCGCTCCAGCCCTGTTGTCAGCTGGACCTTAGCTTCGTGAAACCAGCTGCAGGTCCCTGACCTCCAGGACTACAAGAGCCACATGCGTTAAGCCGTGAAGCCTGTGGTCATTTGTTAGAGCAACCGGAGCCTCGTGGTCATGCTCCAGGTGAGTAGGGCCTCCAGGAAGAATCGCCACGACTCAAACATGGACCATGAGGGTCTGTGCTGAACGGCGTGTRCAGGAATGGCGCCAAGGAAGCCCCTGGTCTCCCCTCACATGGGGTTGGCACAGCTCCTTTTCACCATTCAGAATCCTCAGATCAGTGCTCTCCAGAGCGCAGACGTGTCCCCACTGGTGGCCTGCCTGTGGGTGGTAGTCGGTGCACTGAGAACCTGAAGTGAGTGGACCACCAGGACAGAGAGCTGCTTCCTTTTTGGTTACCTTTTCCATCTCAGTCCAAGGAGATCTTAGGCTGGTCATGGTYGCCTTCAGCATTCTGTGGTACTCACCAATCCAGAGTTGAAACCTTGAGACCGTTAGTGGGTGGCGAGCCAGTTTAGCTGATTAAAGTCCATTCACKTGAAGAGACATAGACTAGAATAAAAATACAGCCCATTAGCGCAGCAAAGGCGAGGATTGTGTTTTTCAAACTTCATTTTCATGTGTATCTGAAGGACTTTGTGAGTAGGAACTGGTTTGTTGTTGTTTCACTAAAGACAGAATTTTCTAGCACTTCACCACCAGAACAGCAACAATGCCTACTTGACRTTGAGAAAAACTTTTGAGCCCCTCGTGGTGGCCCATGCCTGTAATTCCAGCCGCTCAGGAGGCTGAGGCAGGAGRATCAAGAGTTCAAGGCCAGCGAGGCACTAGGCAACTCAATGAGACCCTGTCTCTACATAAAATATAAAATTGGGCTGGGGATGTGGCTCAGTGGTCAAGTGCCCCTGAGTTCAATCTCAGTACCCAAAAGAAAAACTTTCATTGCATCAATGGTCTTTTTTGCCTTTGTATTTTTAATAGATCACCATCTATCCAGGGGCAATGATGCTCCATCGCCATTGATGGCTGTGTGGTAAAATATCCCTCAGAGTGTCAGGACTTTGGCCGAGAATGTAACTGAGAGCGTTTGCGTAGCACAGGCAAGGCCCTGAGTTCAGTCCCCAGCACTGCGAAAACCAAAGTCATTGGCATAATATCTTAAAAATGAGTCTATCAAAACATAATTATTAGGAAAACAACAACAGAGGCACCGAAAGAGTGTTGGAAAAAATCCCMGAAATAATGCATTTGGGACTACCGAAGCCGAGAAGCATCACGTAAGGGCACAGGGTCTTGCCAAAGGTTGGTTTCCTGCCTCCTCTGTCACACTTCTATGACCAGGACAGCATTGCAAGGTGTGCTTGACTTTTCRGATTGCAACTTGAAACCCATGTCCCCCCTCAGTAGTCTAAACCCCTTGGTTATAATYCATACACATGTCACTCAGTGGAGCCTCCTCTTTGGAAGGTCGTCTAGTGACCTTTATCCCTTCTACTTTGGCTGCTTCGAGGATTCTCCACTAGACAGCCCCCTCTGCCCTGAGGATTCTTGGCAGGCACTTCCCTTGGCTGACTGGGACCCTTCCTGCCTCTCCCCGCCTCTCCCCCTTTCCACCCCCAGTGCTTCCTCTGCCTGCAACCTCCAGACCTGGTCTCCATGGAACACCATAGGCCCTTTTACTCTTCTTTCTTTTCAAAAATTTTTCTCTTTTTTTGGTTGTGGTGAAATATATATAACAGAATTATGCATTTTAAGCATTTCTAAGTGCACAGTTCAGGGGCACCTCCACCACCCATCTCCAGGACCTTTCACCCCTCCAAGCTGAAACTCCGTCTCCATTGAACAGTGATTCTCTATTCCCTCTCCCCCAGCCCTGACAACTACTGTGGAACTCTGTCTTTATGAATTCCACTACTCTAGGGATCCCTTATGGGTGGAATGATATATTTGTATCTGGCTCACTGCACTTGGCATAATGTCTTTGGGGTTCATCCATACTGGAGCATTATCAGAATTCCTTTCCCTTTTTAAGGCTGAGTACTATTCCTTGGTATTATGTACCACATTTGGATTATCTGTYTTCTGGTAGACATTTGGACATTCTCACTCTTTTGGATATTGTGAATTATGCTATCATGAATATTGGTATATGAATATGTTTGACTCTCAGTTCTTTTTTGGTATATACCCCAAAGTAGAATTGCTGGATCATTTGGTAATCTTATTTTTAATTTTGGGGGAGACCTCCATACCATTATTCAAAACAGCTGTGCCATTTTACACTCTTACCAGTAATGCACAGAGGTTCCAATTTCTCCATATCCTTGTAACACTTGTTATTTTTAAAATCACATCCATTTAATTTTTTCCACATTTTTTATTGGCATGTTATAGTTGCACATAATGACAGGAATTTGTTGTTACATATTTGTACATGCACACAATATAATTTGACCAAAATCACTCCTCAGCACTTTCTCTGTAATTATGTTTTTTTTTTTTTTTTTTTTTAAAGTAGAGTTATCCCAATGAGTGTAAAGTGGTATCTCATTGTGGTTTGGGTTTGCGTGATTAGTGATTTTGAGCATCTTTTATTTGTATGTGTAGATCCTCGATCCCTTCTGAGTTAGGTTTTGCGTATGGTGTTAGGGAAGGAAACCAACATCGTTCCCTTGCACGTGGATGTCCAGTTTCTCCAGCCCCATTTGTCGAAGCGCCTGCCCTTTCCCCATTGACCAGTCTTGACATTCTTTTCAAAATCATCCGGCCACTTATTCAAGGGTTTCTTTCCAGGCCACCTATTCTRTTCCACTGRTCTATTTGTCTGTTTTTATGTCAGGGCGAAAGTATTTTGATTACTGTAGCTGTACGGTAAGTTTTGAAATTAGGGAGTGTGAGACCTCCAACAACTTAAGTTTTGAGATTGTTTTGGCTGTTGAAGTTCCCTTGAGATTCTAATGAATTTTTCGAATGTGAGTAACTATAATAACCAGGTATTAGACTTTTTTTTTCTTTTTTGCAGCGCTGGGATGCAACCATGGCCTCGTGCATGCTCAGCACACGCTCTACCGCTGAGCTGCACCCCCAGGTGTCAAACTAGGTTTTAATTTTACAGCTCTTCTTTCATTTTCGGGTGGGAAGTGGGGATGGTCATGAATAAAATACTCGCTATGAGTAGGATATAGATTTATATTTTGGTTTATTTTATATCCCTCCTTGTTCTACAAAAGGAATCGAGATGGCTAATAAAACTGCAGCAACACAAAACACGAAAACAAATGCTTGGGGGACTTGGAACGTGAGTTTATAAAAAAGAAAAACAAGGCCATGAGTCAGGTGGGCTCACAAATGTGAATGTTTTATTGTCTTATGCAGGAACCGTCAGTGGGCCACAAATCTGATTCCCCCACGTCCTCATCAAGATGAAACATGATTCAGTTTCCATAAAGTCTCAGCCAGCCACATGCTCAAGAGAGGCACAACTCTCCTGCCTGAGGCCCCAGAGAAACGGAGCGTCTTCCCTGAGATCCCTGCAATCYGTGTACTTACAGCCCGGCTTGTGGAGTGGCTGGCCCAGGGTCCCTGAGGCAAACAATGACTTAATGCTAAAATGAAAGTCCATGAAGGCGATTCTTCAAGGCCCAAACAAAGCAACGCATTGTTCAGCTCTGGGAAGCTGCATTTAATACAAGAGCAGAGTTTAGAAAATATGAAGAGTGAAAGCTACAGAACCGATGGGCCTAACTGTTGTTCCTGAAAACAGCACGTTTTAGACAAGATTCCTGGTCGAGAACTGGAGATGAGAATCTCAGGGGGTGGGATAGGGATGGACATCAAATTGACAAAGTGACGCAGATCAAAATGCTCTAAAAACCAACGTGATGGACAGTAGGGTTAAGTTTTTTTGTGTGTGCCGGGGGCGGTGGGGGGAGGAGGGTGCTGGGGATTGAACCCAGGGCCTCTGGGTTCAAGACAAGCACTCTACCAGCTAAGCTATAGCCCCAGCCCAAGGGTTAAGCTTTTTAGGGAAATATAAAAGCCCAGCTTCRTTCCATGCCAGCTGCGCCACGTAAAACCCAGACCATTCCACACCCCTTCTTAAGACCCCCCAGGGCCCTCGTTCTTCCTGGTGTGAAATCCGACTTCTCCCTCAGCCTTCAAGATCTGACCCTGAGTGATCTGGTCTCTCCCCGCCTTACGTCATGCCACTCTCCCCTGCCTGTGACATTCCCACCCTCCTTCACTCTTCATCTACCAAACTGTGTCTCTAAAGGGCCTTGGCGTCTGTTGGTCCCTTTCTCCGTTGGCTTTGTCCCATGAAGCCTAACACCCTCCTCAGAGGGCTTTCCCCRCCACCCCACATAAGCCTCTAGCCCAGCAGTGGGTTTGTGTGTCTGCTCCCGTTGGGCTCCT